TATATTCACGTGGCTCAATACCGAACTAACATAAATAGTGAAATGCAGCATTACACAAGTTTCTCCAAGACATAATATAAATGATCAACTATAACCTTGATAATTGAAATAATCATTCTTCATCAGAATATGTAAAATATATATTAGTATGTTATCATGAAAATATTCAACATGTAACACAAGTAATGGAGCAAACAAGGATAGTCATGAGCATAACACTTAACAAACCAACTAATCTACACACCTTGCAGGAAGGTCATAGTAACTTTTGCCATCCCTGTTCGGTAACCATCCTGTAAAGGAGAAGCATACTTTCTGCCTCAGTTCAGATTTAGACATAATTTCCAATGAAGCCTTTTGTTTTAAGGGTGAAATGGCAGGTCAAAATTCTTCAAGATACCGCAATATTGTCACATGATTTCCCCAAAAAAAAAAATGAATATTACTAGTAGTTTTAAAAATTATTATACGCATTCAGCATACTAATGGTGCACAACTTAAATGTGAGTATGTCTAAGTAGCTTACTAATGTAGCACATTCTTCTGCTAGACGAGGTCAAGCTGCAGCATGCAAACCAGAAATGCTGTGCACTTCATCTAAGTTCTGTCACAAAAATATATAATAATCAGGAGAAGTAGCCATCTCCAAAACATATGCTTTGAAGCAATCAAATGTTGGGCAGTAGAAGATAACACCAGATTAGGTTGCCTTCGAGGAGTGTGACGATACTAGATATCACAAATGAGACCCCCTAGAATATACTTCCAATTTTCTGCGAGAAGGTTGATTTTGGGAGTGATTTCCGCACAAAATCTCTTCCACGACTACTCATCAACAAAAACACAACAAAAAATCAATAAAACACCCCCAAAAGTAGTATTAATCAAACTAACAAATAAATTAAAATAAGAAAAATCGCTGAGAGAAAGTGCAGAGGAAAAACGAACTTCATTCTCTGTAAAGAAAGAACTCTCTATTCTTCTCAAATTTCACTCGTTAATTAATCAGGATTCAAACTAAATAATTCATGTCAATTACCTATCCCAAGATCCGTCAGAGAAAAACCTAGTTGTCAATTTCCTCCGTAGCTGGCTCCGGAGCTTCGACGGCGACCAGCGGCGGAGACCCATTAGAACCTAGATTATCCCCAGCACTCACAGGACTTTCAGAAGGTTTCTCATCCTCCACTGTAACAGCAGCAGCTACTCCGGACCCCTCATCAGCACCGGAAAAAATGGGTACCAAATACTGAAGCTTTTTCGAGGGTCTCAGAGAAAATTCGGGCTTGTAGAATAACTGGGTCTTCTTTACATGAGGAGGTGAGAAAGTCGTGAGGTGAGTAGAAGGAGTCGATGAAAATATGGCATTGTATTGCCTACGAGGGAGAAGAAGAGAGAAGAGCGAAAGGCAGAGGTAGAGGCAGAGACGAGAAGAAAGAGAAATTAGGGCTAATGAAATTGATAAATTTTGTGGAAGTGTGGGACTTTTGGGCTTTCGCAACGGTCAACAAAAATGAACGTTGCTAAAGCACACATTTCGCAACGTTTAAATGGATGTTGTTAAAGGACACCTTTCGCAACGGTCGATGAACATTGCGAAAGGTGTTCTTTAGCAACGTTCATTTGAACATTGCGAAAGACCACATTTCGCAACGTCCATCGCCCATTGCGAAAAGTGAGACTTTTGGCAACGTTCTCTGACCGTTGCAAAAAGTGTTACTTTTCGCAACGGTCAGTGAACGTTACGAAATGTCACTTTTTGCAACATACATTTGAAAAACGTTGTCAATAGGTCATTTTAGCAACATTCACTCACATGCATGTTGCAATTGACCCTTTTAGCAACATTCAATCAATGAATGTTGCATTTTAAATGTTGCA